TACTTTCAAAAAACGTTAAAATATAACAAAACGATTAAAGTTATTTCAGAAATGAAAAATACGATCCCTGTTAAAATCAATCAAATCATATTCCTGTGCATTGAAATAAGGGATGAGCGCCTATTTACCATATGCATATCAATGTTTCAAATTTATTGTAAAAGATTTTAACTTTTACATATTAATTGCTTATCTTACAATGTTTTCATTGCATTAGCAGTACCATTCGAATGTATCAAACGCATTACGATTGTGGCGAAAGGAGAAAGTTCTTTATTCAGCTACCAGCAATCACATTCATTTGTTACTGCAACCATTAAATAGCATATTTATTTATGCCATTCCTTAACACGGAAAATTAACCATTCAATCAGAAACTGAACTAAAATCAGAAATTATTACATATAAATTTCCATTTTCCTCACTTACTCGATCCAACTAGAGTGATTAATTAACAGAGCTAAACTTCTGCTAATCAATTTTAACAAGTTCTCATCATAACTAGAAAGTATGACAAATGCATATCAAGTTTTTGCATTATCTCTCTCATATTACCTTAGTAAATTACGTGTTTTACATGGCAAGCTGTAGTTATCACAGATGATGTAAGAATGAATTTGATGAGCACCAAAGTTCTTAAAATTTACCGTTATCCTTTCACGTCATACCTAGCAAGCATATGTTGGATGAGTGAGCATATTGCTGCTAATAAGATTGACTGACATGTCAATAACACAAGCCAAATGTTGCAGAAATTTCAATTGAAAGAAGGAAGACCAAATCCACGAAACCAGCACATAGCTCACCAAAAGAAGCTCGATAGAGAGGGCAGAAAACGGTGGGACACACCGTGTACTTCCTTCCTCTCTTTCATAAAATATAAAAATTTAACTGCTATGTGTGGGCACACGTTTGTACATGTATGTGTATGTGTGTATGTGTGTGTGTGTATGTGTGTGTATGTGTGTGTGTGTATGTGCGTATATGTGTATGTGTGTATGTATGTATGCGTATGTGCCGATAGTGTACATATCTACACGCATATGAAAGCATGCATACACACGTACTTCTATACAAACGTGAGTATGCATCTATTTTATTAGTGTATGTGATATTTACGTATTTATTTCATTTCCATGTTTGCGTATTGTACGAATACAAGCATCAGTTTACCTGTACAAGCGTGGATGTATTTGTACAAAATATGCAGTACGCACGCATTTGCATGCACGTACATGTCTTTATAAGCATTACTGTGAATGTTCGACTTCAACATGTACTTCATGTAGTATATAAGAAAAAAGGAAGTATAAGAAAAAAAGATTAAGCTTAGTGCAGAAAGTTAAGAATAGGTATTGATTGTGTATTGGATGTAATAAAGTAGTGACAATTATTGGAAATTGGAAATGATGAAGTTTTGCTCAAAATTTACAGAGAACTGGCAAAGAAATATAAATTAAGCACACGAGCACAAACACAACAACGTTACAATACAGTGCTACTTGTGCTTATTGAATTGAGTAAATGAAGAAATGAATGAGTGATGAATAAATATATTAGTGGAGTGAAAAAATAATCGTGACATTTAAGAGGAAATTTGAAAATCGTATGCTTGACAATAAGTAATGATGAAGTGAGAAGATGGAGAGAATCTGAATTCATGCAATGATAATCATTTGTTTCACTTTTCTCAGCATTTACGAATATACTCCTGCATATAGTTTAGCTGTAGGATTTGTGCCTTTATTAATTTAGCATAACAAATTAAGCTAACAATACTTATTTAATATATACCACGAACAATTTGGAATTAGTTAGTCAATAAATCAAACAATTAAGCATTCTCTTTGTGCATGAATTAACTTAACAACTGATGATCACTTAAATACAAAGTGGTGATAACGAAACTGAGTACTGAAATGGTGAAAGATTGCTGCATGTGTAGCAAACGATGAGATTTCTCGTTTTCTTCTTCTTGGCTTAATTGCAAAACTTATGCGCACTCACTTCACTTCCGATTCTTGCACGCATCATTTTTATTACTTTTGAAAAAGAGCAAAAGTCACCCTTTGCACTATGCATCAATGTGGGCACGCAAAAAGAAGAAATGACATGAAAGTATGAGTTAAAATTGCAAAGCTAAATTTCATTAAGTGAAGATATACAATAACGTGTCGAAACTCAATTTCTTGATGCATAACAATTTTAAAATGGATTTAAATATTGCAAGTTTAATCGAATAAACGTGTTTTAGTAACTGTAGAAATGTATAGCTTTTATGTGTTCGATATTAGTAATTTAAATTGTATATTGGATTTTTTTTCGTTCTCTTCCTTTTTTTGTATCTCATTCATTCATATCAGCAACATAATTGAAGTCGAGATTATAGTGAAACATTGCAACTAAGAATATTTGCCAAACTAGACATCATTATTACTTTCTTCCTTCTAGATCTTTCTACCTAATACAAATATGCAAAGCATGCAAGAGTCATCCACCTCACTGTAAACAATTACTTAATTAATTATTCATTCTTGTAAGTTCTTGTTTTAAGTTTGTAAAATATGCTACTGGAATTTATTACTTGTTAAAGTTACACTATCTTACAAAGTGTGCCCCATTTCGAATCACATGAACTAAACCATTTAGACATGCAACAAGAATATGAACAAACTTTTATCTCAACAAAGTGATTTACAAAAATATAATGAATGATAAAATATAACGCTTGACCTGACAAAGCGCCTTTCGAAAACGTGTCACCTGCAACATAACTCATCTTTGTATTATAAACCCCAGCATTTTTTCATCCCAGTTTGCTATCAATGCATGCATGCATTCATGAAAGCAACTATAACAGACATGGAAAAAATGATACTCTTGACACACAGAGAATGCAGATAACTAGTTTTATATCTGATTCCATCTCTTCATATTTCTAAATAAGGTATCCGTCAATTTCAGTTGCGATGAAGAAATAGATACATGCCACATTATCAGTATTTTTGACAAGTAAACGCATACATGCATCTTTTGTTGTTCATCTTTTATTTTTAAAATTCATTTTCATATCTGGTTAGTGTTCTCCTGCGCTGAAAATTCTCTTGTTGCATAATTTAATGATTAATTTTACTTTTACGATTGAACACGCCAGTACTTCACTAATTTGCACAATGAAGCAACAATGAAGTATTTGTCAAATACTTTCAGCTACCTTTTCTTTTGTAATATAATGAGTAAATATTAAGTACAGTCAAAAAATGTAGTTTAACTTAATATTCCTAAGAAATATAGGAACATTTAATGTTAGATATGCAAGGAAGTCAATCTCATAGACAAATTTCTCATTAACTGAATATAGGCTCTCAAGTGATAAAGCAACCTATGCAATCAAATTGTTAACAAATTTTCTTCGAATTATATTTTGCATGTATAATTGCATTGTTCTACAAAATTATTAATACCAACAGAATCCCAGCAATTACCATGCAAATAAAGCGTCAGAGTATTATAATTTTCACAAAACTTTTATTTGTCATACTAAAAAATTGATCTGAAATAACTAGTCACAGTGTAAGTGTAATATTTAACATGACTCGAAAGTATTGAAAAGATGGAGTACAGATTCAGATTCAGGAAATATTAGTAGATTCTATGCTTACCTGAAGTAATATATGAATAATTTTCAAAGTGTTTGTCAGAAAAATAGGACTATTTAGCATGAATCCAATAAGGCACAAAACGAAAGAAAGCATGTAAGTATAGTTACCATAAACTATTGAAGTGTAAATAATATAATTCATCATTAAATTTCGAAAAAATATTATGAAAGAGTAATGATAAAATGAAAATGATTTAGGAGTTTTTCATAATAACATACAGCTTGCGAGTAACATTTCAAATAATATAGTGTATCCTAATTACTTCAACATGAATAGTTCGATAAGTTAAAATTTTACGAAAATTAGTTTAAAGAGTAATGATAAAAAAGTCACAAATACATTTGGTAGGATAAAAGTTATGCAAAAGAGAATGAAATGAGTTGAAAAAGAAATGATCATATTCAAAACTCAAGCAGATAAATTTTAGAGAAAATACGCGAAAAATTTTGAGAACAATTGACTTATTCATTTTGAGTGTGAACCAAAACTACAAAACACAGTAAAATTTATAGATAAGGTGAACTCTAAATGATGATTTTGCATTTTTTTAAAAAGGCACAAAAAACGCTAAAAGGCAAAAATGGTTTGACACTGGTAAATAAAAGATTTCTACCAATAATTTCCCATCAACGTAGATCTATAACCTAACTCATGAAGTTGAAAAAATAATATAATACAAATTCCAGGTGTAAAATGCATAAAGAATTGAAATAAGCATTAATTAAGTTTCTTTTTGGCAAAAATGAATTTTTTTCGTGAATTCCAAATAGGAATTTTGAACTAGATAGAGATATCTGAAGTAACAAAAAGAAAGTAAAAGTTATTTTCAGTAGAACCGGTTTTTATACTATAGAAAAGAGAAGAACAATAAAAAACATTTCTCAGGGGTTTTGCAAGTATCTAGAACAAAAAAATAGAATCTTTTAAAACAATTCAAAACAAGACTTTTGATTTTGCATTTAGTGCATAACACATAATCGATTAGAAAGTAAGCATTATCTGAAACTTTTAAAAGTATAAACTACTTCCTAAAACAAAGCCATTAAAAATAATTTCATATTCCTATGTTGCATTACACAAGTAAGAGAATGTACTAAGAAAAGCAACACAGAAATAGTTATCCAAAAACACCGGTGAACTTTACTTAGGTATAACGCTCATCATGATAAACATACTACTCTATCTTCACAAAGATAGAATGCATTGTTCTGGGACTGCATTAATTACAGCATTGACAGCAGGACAACTGAAAGTAAACTTTGTTTACCTGTTTAGTGCCATATTCCAGAAGCCGATAGTTCACAATCAAAGTTACCTTCAAATACTTTCTGGCAGTTTTCAGAAAATTTGAATTACTAAATCATCTATTTTTGATTCTTCAAAAAATAAAGATATAAAATAATTTGTGCGTAACCTTGACAACGATTTCCGGCAACCAATCATAATCAGCTTGTGTTTGGCTCTCGTGATAGCAACATTAACTCGTCGAAAGTCAGCAAGCAGATCACTCCTTTGATTTTTCTTTTCTTTTGTCCATACAAAACTTAACACAATGACTGATTTATCCTTTCCCTGATACTGGTCAACAGTATTTACTTCAATATTTGCTCCAACTTTTTGACTCAATCGTTCAGCGTGATACCGATAAAAACTGATAACACCTAGATCACACTCCTTCAAACCAAGCTGAAAACTACACTTTTCAAAAGAAAACCAATGAATTCGGTTAGCAACTTCAAAATATAGCACACTAGCAACCAATTAGTCAAGAAAATAATCCAATAATTTGAATAATTTTCCCATGAAGCAAAAATAAGACCTCAGGAAATTCAGAAGGATATTCAACCAGTTTTTTAACCAATTTCATCTTAATCTAATATATATAATAAATACGAACACTAATAAACAGTTTACAAATGCCTTCAATGAATTCTGCTTCTCCATCATTGAAAACATCACCATGCTTGCCAAAGGTTGCACGAAATACTGCGTTTTTAATAGAGTTAGTATCCAGGAAGACTATTGCATCATTAAGCGAATTTGAAAGACAAAGTTTATAGACCTCTATAAAAATTTCACAAAGATTAATAAGATGAAAACCACAAATTTTGGAAGCACGTTTTTACAGAATAAAACGAGAGATTAAACATGGCTTCAGCACTGTAACTATTTAATCATGAATTTAGTTGAAGCAATGAATTAACGTACCGGAGTAAATAGATGCATGATTGACGGAATCAAAAGAGAACTTGGGAATACATGCTCTTGCCACCACATCATTTGCACACTGAAGTTTGTTTTCGTAGAAAAGACGACTGCTAAGCTGAGTTATAGGCCTAAAATTAAGTTACAATCAGTGCAGTTAATTTGATAAATATTTAAATATTGCTAACAGAATGAACAAAATTTGTCATGAGCGACATAAGCAAGCAAGGAAGGGAAACGAGATATAAAATTGTACTCATTCATTCGATACTGGGAATGCAATGTAACTACTGCCGAAAGATGGACAGATAAACGTTCTAATAATGATTTTGCCATGCCTTCCTGCCTGAAATTCAGGAACAGTTCAAAGATTATTTATTGGAATATTTTCCCAATTTCAGCATCTTAGATATCTTTATCATCAAAGAGACTCCATTAATGCAAGAAAATAATCAAGTTGAGAAAATTAAACACGACTGAAGTGATTAAGCTTAGTATATTCATACGTAATTTCCTTTCACTGCATCAATATAGTGAACCAAAAATATAGCTAAACAAGTAACAAAATACCTGGCCTCCTCTGAGCAGACAAGTGGTGTCAGCTGTCTGTGATCTCCTAAAAGTACAAAAGAATCAGAAACAGAAATGGCAGAAATAACAGTGGGTTCGAGCACCATTGATGCTTCATCAACAATTGTCATTGAAAACCGGCGATACGAAAATAGCAGATTAGTGGATACTGCCAAACATGTACACGCAACAATGGGCTGAAATTTGTAATAATTAAAACTAATAATGACAAAAGAAATAGTTGACTGTAATTAAACTACGTCTTACTGCTAATTTCATTTCAAAATTCCAAATGATAATTACAAGTTCATGAAGGCCCATAATTTCAAAAATTTAGAAATGCAAACCTGATTTAAACGAAAATGTTGGGCATTGTAAAATACTAGAAGGAAAAACTCGGAAAGAGAGAAAAGTAACTATTTTTTTAAGGATGAGTTCCGTCTGCACAATCCTTTCTTCTCCTGAATATTTTGACAACTTAGCTTCTAAAGTTAAGTGTTGCAAGTTTTTTGTAATTGCGCTTGAATAGCCTAATCGCAAAATTTTATGCTCGTCAACAATCTGAAAACATATACTTAATTCCACTTTTTCCTTGCTACGATAACTTTTCTTTATAAAGCTTTTCTCGACATTACATTAATCATTGCATGCAACAGCAAATTTTGTGCTCGAAAGTGTATGCAGAAACCAGTAACCTCAACAAGTTTTAGAAGAATATTATCAACAGCAGAATGTGTGTAAGAAGTAAGAAGTACTGTTCGACCCAGAACAATAAGACAACAGACCAAAGCAACTACTGTTTGTGTTTTCCCTGTAACCAAATTTGTAATGTTAATATGAGAATAATAGATGAATTCGAAGAATTACTGTTAATAACAAGAAAAATGTTTCACACAATGAAACCTTAATTAACTAATCATTTTGAAGGTTACTTCAGGCAAAGAACATTATCATATTCGAAACCCCACATAACTGAACAACAAAAAATATAAGCTACCAGATCCAGGAAAACCTTCAATGATTGAAAAATCATTAGCCATGAGAGATCTAAGGACTGCTCGTGCTTGATCTCTATTAAGTTGTCGTATAACTTGTGATATACTCATTATATCTTCCTTTTTCATTTTAGAAAATACCGGTACTTTCATGTCTATTATTAAAGACCTGATTTTTGACCTGAAAAATATCGAAGTAACCGTAACTAGAAAGTAGTCAATGGCAATATAGCAGTACCTTGTGATTCCAGCTAACAAAACTTTCGCCACAGAATCATGAAATCATCAAATCAGGTAGGATTCAAAGCTACACATTTTATTTTCGATTATAAAAATATTTAAAATAAAATAGGCAAAAAAGAAATAAACTACATACATATTTATGTTGTCAGCCATCAACATAGCAAGGTTTCCCAGAATGATAGCGTGCGTAAAAGAAGTTTCATGCCTTGAAAGGAGATAACTCTGTCCAATGACAAGCGAGCAACTACTATCATCAGCAACAACGTCAAAAAAATTGCCTGTAAAATGCATGGTTAAAGATAAATGCAGCAGGTATTTCTTAAAAAAATAAAAATGATTTCAAAAATATATAATTAAGATAAATAAACTGAATCGTTCAGTTTAACACGATTTTTCATGATCGCAATACGATAAACACGATTCGTGCTCAAAATTGCCTAAATTCAGTTTGGCTGCTCAATTTTTGTGATTTCAGCTTTCTTCAACTCCCTTTAACATTGCAGTAAGACACTTTGATATTCTTCCTCCACTTCTTTTGAAACTAAACAAACACTCGAAAATGAATTTAATACATACCGTTATCACAAATGAAGGAGACTACTGTGTGTATTTTCATAGCTTCAGAAAAAATCACCAGCATATCTCCCTTATGAAATAATTGGAACTGCTCCCTCTTAAATTCTTCCCTATAATTAGAGCCTAATTTTCTAAATAAATAAATAAACAAATAAAATAAATAAATGAATGAATAAATAAATAAATAAATAAATAAATAAATATATATATATATA